AATTTTTTTTAATTATATAAAGTTAGTGTTGATATATCGTTCTTAGGGCAATTATACCTTATAGTTGCATTCACACTAAAATAAGCTTAAATTCAATTTTACCTAATAAAGTTTACTTAATATGCACACAATAGAGACAAATTACACTAGTTTGTAGATCCATAAACTAGAGCATGAAAGTAATTTTTATGAAAGCAAAAAGCCTAAACTTACAATGTAGAAGGGCAAGGTTTACTTTGAGCATTTAGCTCTAGAGTTTATTATATTTGGACTATCAAGCCTTTTAAATCCCATTTTTAATTTTTAATCCTAAATTATTTTCAGTGAGCAAATAAAAACTATTCTGCTGATATTTATCAAAAATATTTACTTTTTCTTAGTGAGCACATTGTTTCTAAAGCTTCTATGAAATCCGCTATAATTACAAAACAGCTTCAAAGACCCTGAACCAATCAATACCTACCATCCATTTTTGAAACTCCAGCAGTGATTTTCTACTGTTGTGTTAAGTCCCACTTCTGAGCAGAATTTGGGGCAGCACAATTAAAGCAATTAAATGGCCTCCTCAGTTACATCATCATTCTGCACCTCAGTTCTGAGACAGGTTTTGCTGCCGGGACCATGCATTCAATATATTATTATTATTATTATTTTTAAAGTTATCATGTATACCAATGAGCACAAACCTTTTCTGGCTCCACCTTGCCTTTAAACTAAGACTCTCACTATCAGGTTGCATTTAATTCTATACCACATCTAGAACTGTCTCAACTCAATGAATATGGATGTAATAAACTACACTGTCCAGTTTATATCCTCAGCTATAGCAAAAGTTTTTACAAATGGTAAAAATTTAGTGGTAAATTTGATGAACGGCTTGACCTGGCTGCACGCCAGAGCACACCAGTAAAGAAGCCAAGCATACAAAACTATAATTCTTACTCTAATCGCTAAAATAATATTTGAGCAGGCTAACGGTTTGACATATGGATTGGTAAAAATCATTGCTTTTAAATATGCTACACCCCCAAATCAAATCAACATAATAGAAATAGAAATAGAAACTGGCTCAAGACTTCAAATTCCATAACAATATTGTGAAATTACATTGGATTTGGGCCCAAAATCTAATGTATGGTTTTGGAAGCCTTTGACTTTCATGCCAATATTATATTGATGAAATTGACATCAATTTAATTTAGTCTCAAAGTTCCAAACTAAAACAAATTAATTTGCTGGTATTTCCAATAATTCAGTGATACAGTTTAACTTATAGAAAGACCCTAAATTAGTATACTTCATGGTTCTCACCTCCTACTAGAATTTCCTAACTGTCAAGAATTTTAAGAGACAAGATAATACACATTATCACCTCTCTGTCCCTTGCCATAATTCAAAAGCTTAACAAAACCCACAATAAGAATTTAAGACAAATGCAAATATAGGTCATTACCTCCACAACTCTTTTGAGATATGTATCATAAAACACTATTTTATATAATGAAACACTGTATGAAACCAAGTTTTCCTAATTTCTGCCATTATAAGCAAGAGCCAAGATAGATTCACATTATGTTACATTCTGTACTGAAGTGGTTATATTACTGGGAGGGCCCAGTGGGTGGTCCCAGTGGGAGGGCCCATTTCAGGAGGGAACCATGAAGTCTAGACTCAGCTTCAGATCCAGCGATGACGCTGCTATATGGGAGGAGAGGGTGCAGGAATATTCACACCATAGGTCTGTCACAAATCCATAGCCACATATTCTGATGGCAAACTAACCAGAGGCAGGTAAACAGTGAATTCTTCTCCAAGTGTGCGTGGCCCATGCTCTCCTATTTTTAGTTAACTTCTTCATTTCACAAAAGCCAAGAGAACAGCAAGACCCAAAGTAGGAATCACTGTCATGTTTACCTTTAGTCAAGTGGCTCTTTCTGTTCTTGCCCAACTATTAATATCCCTCAATCTGTTACATTACACCTTAGAGAAAAATAAGAACAAAACAAAACTAGATTTCAAGTTGCCAAAACCACACACAAGCGAAAATTTTAAATCACAAAGATACAGCATTATGTAAATAACTAACACCTTATTTGTAAGCAAATATAAACACATGAGAGAAAAGTGGAAAAAAAAAAAGTTTCCCCCAATCTCTGTGAAAAGTAAAGCATTTAATCTGGGCATGATAGTGCTGTCCCTCCCTGTAACCTACATCCATTAAAAGAATTACAATTAGCTCATATTGTATTCTTCCACTAATACCACAATCTTTGGAAAGAATTTCATAGGTAATTTAGCAGAATATGGATTTTTATTCATATCTCATATAAGTCAGTTTGGTATACAAAAAGCATCAAAACTACAGAAGTTTTAAATTAAAAAAATGAATTTAACCTTCACTAACAATATACTACCACATAGCGAATGAAGACGGGAAGATTTCCATCCATAAGTTAATGGCTGTGCTAGGTATGCCCTAAATGTTATATCAGGGCTAGAGATAAGAATTTGGAAAGAATAGCTAGTTAATATGATCATTCTTATAAAACAAAATAATAAATAATATTCATTAGAACATCTGTTATTCAACAGTTTCTCAAAAACAATGTTCAAATTTCAATTCTCAGAAAAAATGATGAAAATGTCTCTAAATCAACAAAACCATGGGTAAAGTTTTGAAAAAGTGTTGAGGCTCTAGTGATTAACAAAATAAAAATGTTTACAAGTAGTTGTTCAATATAAGAGTCTTTGCAGAATGGAATGAGTGCTACTAAAATTAAAACTGATTTATCTACAGATGATTGCATGTTCTGCCATCGCAGCATGATGGCTTCTTCTGGAGTAATACAGATTTTCTTGCCTTAGAGAAACTGCTCTACCATTAAACTGATTTTCTTTACAATGAAGTGATTATGAGAACTGTCAAAGGGAAACAAACATAAAGTAACTATCAGGCATGCTAATATATTAATTGTACAATTCCATCTAACAGTTTTTCTTTAATTTTGCAGTAACATTAAGATATAACCTTAATAGAGAGTTCTTACATTTCAGTTCAGTTCAACAAATTTTTACATGCCAAGACTAATTCAGAGCTAAGTATGAAGACAAGGTCTCTATAGAGGATCTCGGTCTAATGAGGGTAAACTGAAATATAAATAAACAACAGAAATACTATGTAAACATCTTCAACTAAAGATCATTTGTATTAAGTTAAAGAAAAGGAAGTTGATCTTTTGACAAAAGCTTAAAACAAAGCTAAGAATTCATCTCTCCTTTGAGGAAATAGTTACTAGTCCACTGAGCATTTGAAGATATGGCAAATACAGTCTATACACACAAACTAATTTAAAAGCTTGTTGCAATCAGTAAAGTATCATCTCGTGAAGACTGAACAGTTGATAACCATTTAGAATGGAAATACTTGATGAAAAGTTTGTTTTGAAATGGGCAACAACTTTGTAAAATCAATAATCAGATAAGAAGTTGTAAAAGTAAAACAATATACAAGACGTGGCTAAAGTCAAAGGTTTCATGAAGCCATGCTATAACTTAACAATTACAAAAGGAAATTAACTTATTTCTATTAAAGTGAATATAAATTTTACAATCATTTTCTGGCACAATTATGGTTTTGGTACTGTCTTCTATAAAAAGCATCTGTGTGCCCACCTACCCCAGTTCTGTTAAGTGCCAACTACAAGCATCCTCTATTCTTATTTTTCTAGATCACTCTATGAAAAATATTCATACAGTATCTGCAAAATCGCATTATTATTGGTCCTGCAAATCTGTCAAAAGTACCCCTCCAACTTTCAAGAGATAACTCCCTTCCTGAAGTTATGGGTAAGAGGAAAATCTGGTAGGCTCCTAGACGGTGGTGATTTCATATATATTTTTAAGTACCCCTTTAACCCAGACACCTGCATCGACCACATTGTTACCCTGTAGTAAATACATGTGTCAACTCAAGCTGTCAATGTGGAACCGGTCAATACTGAGTATCTGTAAAACCTAAGAGTCTCGATTCTTGCTTCGAGTTTACTTTTTTTTAATTTAAAGGTAATGTATTAAATATCTGTAAAGATCTAAATTTGTACTTAAAATAAACTTAAATTGAAAAAAGGAATACAAAGAGATAACAACATACTGCTAGAAGAAATCTAAATGATATCTTTATTTTCAGACTCACTCCTTTCACTATCTTCCCCAAACATCATTTCCTTTGCGCTACTTCCCCCTCGTCCTTGGGGCAAATCAGTGTTTAACACCGTCCCGCCCACCCCAGATTTTAAAAAGATCCACTGTCCACAAACGAGAAAGCCTCATAATCCAAGCATATCACCGTAGTGATTTTCGATGCTTTCAAAGACACCAGTGAAAATGCCAAAGCCCTCCATTAGATCCCCTAGGGCTCCGTTTCTTTTTTGACTCTATTCTCTCTTTTTCTGGCCCTTGAGCCAGGCGACTCCTACCTGACAGACCCCTCCCTCTCCCAGGCAAACCTAAATCCGTCCCCTGAGGATCACCACCCCCACTTTGGTCAGCAGTCTCCTCAGTCCCAGCCCGCTCACTCTCTCTCTCCACGCGGTAACATCGAGCCTGGACCTGTTCCTCGGATCCCTCGCTCCCGCTGCCAAATCCCAGAGCATCTCTTCCTTCGGGCCCACATTCCCGCGGGGCCCCTTCGATCTTCTCTCATTACTCTGCGTTCAAAAACCTGCAAGCCCTTCCTTTTTAAGGTCACCTCTCCCTCAGCCTCTACTTACCCCTCAGGCTCTGGCCACCGTCATCCCCCGCAGGCCCTCGGCTCAACAACCTCCATTTCCCTCACATTCCATTCTAGAGCTGACTCTCCGGGCTCCCTCAACCGTCTCCCGCGGCCCCTCCGGATGGACCCCTCTCCTCCGCAAACCCCGGCTCCATCCCTGACACCCCACTCTCCCTTGGCTGCAGGTGGCTCCGTAACTCCCCTCTCCTCAACCTCAGCTCCTGCTCACCTCCGAGGTCTGAGGCGGGCTCCCCGGACCCACCTCCGAGTCGGCGTCCGAGCCGCCGTCGGAGTCCGGTACCCTCCGAGCCTCGCTGGAGTGAACCGCCTCGAGCGGCGGAGGCGGAGCCCGGGGAGGAGAACCAGAATGGAAACGGGGGCGGTGGCGGCTGCGCGCAGGCATAGCTCTTGCGCGGGTCTCCGCGGATCCCGCAGCCGCTGGAAATACGAACCGGAACTGCTTCGGGAGGTGGGGCCCTACTGGCGAGAGGCGGAGCCTTACGGACGGGGGCGGAGCCAAAACCGGAAGGGACGCAGTGCTCAAGATGGGAGAGAGAACCACAGCAAGAAAACCCAATAGCGCATGCGTCAGGCCCAAAGCGAGAAGATAAGGCCAAAGAAGATAAGAGACTAGTGAAGAGGAGGCGGGGCCGATGGGATTAGTAAATGGGGTTTGGGGACAAGAGGAAATTATCCTAATTCCTTTAGAGGGAGCCAGCTCCTCTCCAAGAGCCAACTCACAATGATTATTGTTACCGTTTATTGTCCCTTTACTCTCTGACAGTCCCTAAATGCCACATGCCATATAAATAGCTCACTTAATCCTTCTGCCAATTGTATAGGGCCAAGCGACTTGCCTGAGGTAGGGCAGTTAGTATGTGTCAAAGCCAGTATTTCTACTCAAATCTTCCTAACTTCAGAACCTTTGTTCTTCTCACTCCACTATACTACCCCAGCCTGAGGGAACTCCCCAAACTATGCCTAGCACTGGCATAAACCAAATCCAAAACCACCTGTGGCCTGCGCTCCAGCCCCTCCTTGGCCCAAGCAGTACAAAACAGACGTCAGAGGCTCTGATGGGGTAGGGACAGGTTCTAGGGCAGACATGAATGCAGACTGCTTACATGGGATGTCCTGGGGTGGACTTTACCCTCGAGCTGGACTCAAGGCCAGAGGCCTTCCCACTGCAGCTTGTATCCCTCCCAGCCCCATCAGGGTGTTCATAAAGTCATCTGAGAGCAGGCAAGATCTCTCACTTCTTTTGCCCATAACTAGCTCTGGCAGAAGGACAGATATAGACCTTTCTCAGTTTCTATTGTGGGGACAAAAGCCCTTATAATTAGAGGAATCTACCTCCCAACCCAAAAATGTTTCTGATGACAGGCCCTTTGACTTTTCAGAAAGTCTAGGGCAACATTCACCTCCCTTCTCCCCCTTTGACATACATGGCACATTTCAGCCTTCTTTTTTGAGAAATCAGCCATCTTCATTACAGAAACATTGTTCAAATGTTCACCCATGAACCCTGTGGGCACCCTTTAGATGAGGTCTTCCCTACGTCTTCTCCACAGTTCTCTGACTCTACAACTCAGGAAACATCCCCTGAGCCCTGTAATCCAGAGACTCATCCAACAGCCATACATACGGTTCTCACCCAGACCTGCAGAACTTTTTCTGTCATTCATCCTTGGAGCCAACCACCGCCTCTCTACCTGGATCTCTATCTACTTTAACTCAGTCCTCAGAACCAAACAGCCTGTTCAGTGCTCTAAATGTTTTTAAAAATGTTTTCTTAAGCATCTATGTGTTAGAGACAGGATAATCTTTGTTTCATTTAATCCTCACAATTCATTGAGGTAGGTGTAATTATCCTTACTTTACAGATGAAGAAACTGAGATGGAGAGGTGAAATGACTTGCAGAGGTATGTCTGATTACATGTTGTCACCGAGTTTGGGGTTAGGAGGGTGACTTGGGAAGGAAAATGTCCTGTTCTCTCTGGAGGCGACTGTGACTTGCTGAGTCACTTCCTCCTATTCCACCTGTCCCTGCCAATCTCTTGAAGGAAAAATGACACCGGAGAGACAGAGAGGAGTGACTACAGAGACAGAAGGGTGGGTGGGCTTGCCCATGGCTGAGGCCTCGCTCCCAGAGCTGAGGGAAGATGCCGAAGCCACACCTTGCCCCAGCGTCCTGGAACTGGAGGAGCTCCTGAGGGCGGGGAAAATTTCTTCTTGCAGCCGGGTGGACGAAGTTTGGCCCAACCTTTACATAGGAGATGCGTGAGTGGTAGCTGGCTGAGGGGTTTGGGGGTGGGAACATGGAGAGACAGTTCTTGGGCACTTTACCAGATACTGGGGGTCAGGGAACAAGGAGAAATAGCTGGGCTCTGAGCATCCTAGGCCAAGGACTTCCTCCAGGATCCCTGCATGCTGGGGATGGTGCAATGAATAGATGGGGCCACCAGGGGGGAGCGGGGACTTTGAAACTGAGGCACTCCCAGAGGTTCTTGGAGTCTTCTGGCACATCCAGGACTATGGGTGAGTCTCCGGGGCAAAGGCCTGGGGAATGCTGATTTTGGGAATGAGTTGGAGTGGACAGAGAGCTCCCCTTCTCGGTCCCAGCCTCCCTCCTCTGGACACAGAGTGGGTGAGGAAGCTTGATTAAAGGTGAATCGGGAAAGGTGTCACCTCTAAACATTCACAGAATAGAAGCAGGTATGAGGCAGTGGCCAGGAGAGGCCGGAAGTGTGTGGGAGGGCATGAGGCAGGAAGGGAGGGGCAGCTGGATCTGAGGGGTGAGGCAATACTTTCCTTCCTGTACTGGCCAACACAGGGGCAGATCACCTAAGGAAGCAAAAAGGGGCTACAGATAATTCCCTACACCATCAACTTTCCCACCAGAAAGCTCTTGAGGGTGGGGCTGTGAGCTGTGGATCCCAGCTCAAGCTTGCTGGGGTTTTTTCCAACTGCCTTGAACCCTAATGTCTCCGTCCCTCTGAAGTAGGGGGCCTAGAAAAGCCTCCTTCCTGGACCTCGTGGTTCAGCCAGCATCCAGCCCCCTTCTTCCCCTCTCCAGGGCCACAGCAAATAACCGCTTTGAGCTATGGAAGCTGGGCATCACCCACGTGCTGAACGCCGCTCACGGGGGCCTCTACTGTCAGGGCGGCCCTGACTTCTACGGCAGCAGTGTGAGCTATCTGGGGGTGCCAGCCCACGACCTCCCCGATTTTGACATCAGTGCCTACTTCTCCTCTGCAGCTGACTTCATTCATCGTGCCCTCAGCACACCCGGGGGTAGGACTTGGAGTCTGATCTCATATCCCATCCTGCTCAGTCATGGGGGGATGTCCAGTTTCCCTTCAAGTATCAATACCCTCCCATCCCTAGGTTTTTTAGAAGTCATCGGTTTTTAAAAATCCTCTGCTCAGTGCTCCAGTGATTTATCCAAGCACATTGCTTTACAGATGGGGAAACTGAGGCCTAGAATACAAGGCCATGTCACGAGTTAGGAGCAGCCCTGGGGCAGGAAACCAAGTCTCCCAATCAGCAAAATAGTTCTTTCTCTGCATCACTCAGCCTTGGGAAATCGCCATTTGGCACCTAGATGTCTGGTTTCTGCCCCAAAGTACTTTCAAATGGAAAAACAAAAAGAAACCCCAAACTTCTAATACCCAGGGAAGAGCAAAAAGAAAAGGACCCGGGGTAACTGAGCCCTCATTTTGTGTTCATCCTGGGTAAGAGCTGTGCCCCTTGCTACTTGACCCTGGACAAGCCAGTGTCCCTCACTGGACTTCCATTTCTCATCTGTGCGATGAGAGAGACAAGATGATGGCTCATAGCACTTCTTAACCGCAAAAGCACTTTGACATCCATTTGTTCTTCATCCATTCACTCGCCAGCTATTTAGTCTCTTCTCTGTGTCAGGCACTGAGCTAGATACTGGGAATTCACACTTAGACAAGGCAGGGGGCCTTCCCTCATGGAACTTGTTGTTATATGTTTGGTGGAAAAACAGTCAAAATGTAAAGTATTATGAAGGCTATTCACATGAGTGGGCAAATGTGAAGAGCTATGGGAGCACAGGGCTGGGGAGCTCATTCAGAGGATCAGAGACGTAGGGTGACTTCCCTCTACAACTGTCGTCACTGGGCCACATGCAAAAAGGATGAGCTGCTCTGTGATTTTAGCAATACCATGAGTGGTCAGGAATGCCTATGCGAGGAAGCCATGTCTCAGCTGAAACCTAGCAGATGAGTAGTGACATTAGTCAGACCAAGAACAGGGGAGAAGGTTTACAGGAAGTTGGAATAGCATGTGCTGAGGCTGGAGGCCAGAGACCATGACAACTTCAAGGAACCGAAAGTTACCCCGTGCTCCTAGAGCTGAGGGTTGGGGTGGGACAGCCTGAGATGAGGCTGCAGGATCAGCAGGGGCCAGCTCATGGAGGGTCTTAAAACCCATGTGAAGAACTTCAGACCCCATCTCAAGGGTAGGCAAAATAGTTGTTGGTCTACCTATTTGACATATCGGGAAACTGAGGCCCATAAAGGTTGAGTGATTTGCCCAGGGTTTGTCACAGAGTACACCCAAAGCAGAGCAGGAAAAGGAACTTGGGTCCCCACCCCAGCCCCTGGGTGGGCCAGCTGGTGGGAAAAGGTATTTCACCAGGATGTCTTCCTCAGCCAAGGTCCTGGTGCACTGTGTGGTGGGTGTCAGCCGCTCTGCCACACTGGTCCTGGCCTACCTCATGCTGCGCCAGCAGATGTCCCTGCGCCAGGCGGTGATCACCGTGAGGCAGCACCGCTGGGTCTTCCCCAACCGAGGCTTCCTCCACCAGCTCTGCCAGCTGGACCAGAAGCTGCGAGGTGCAGGCCGGAGCTGAGGGGCCAGGTGAGGGGCAAGCTAGGTGTGAGGGGGCGAGGGGGCAAGGCTGAGTGCAATTAGAGCTCAGGCGAGAGCTGGGCAGGGAACATGGAGGGGGAGGCCAATGAGGGTTGGAAGTGAAAGGTCAGGTGAAAGCTGGCAGGGGACATGGAATGGGACCAGATCAGAGGTTGGTAGTCAGGTCTGTGTGTGGCTGGAAGTGAGAGTTGAAGGGGGCTTGACCCACTCCCCAGCCCAAGGTCTTAATAGGGCCTGGCCAAGGTAGCTTTCAGGTAGGACCCTCTCTCTTTCCCAACCCACACAGATTCTTTAGACCCAAGAGGGGGTGGAAAGCATAAAATGGAAGGGGTGAGGCCTTCCTACCTGGTCCTGATGCTGACCTGCCCTATCCCCTCAACCAAAAGCCTGTGGGGACTCACCTAAACCCCATCAAGGCAGCAGCACAGCCAGTCCTGGCACCTGTGGGATGTCTGGACCTTCCCACACCTCTGCACACCTTCCCTTCAGGTCTGGATCTCAGCTACAGCTCTAGGGGAAAAGTGTGGCTATAGCTGTCACTCCAAGCTTATTTGTTATTATAATTCTCATGTCAGCCCTGCTTTGTCAGTCCCACGTGGGGAAGGAGAACAGGCATTCTCGCCACCAGCCGTGACCTCCTCACACAACCCTGCTTGATATGAAGTTCTGCTGTTGTCATGCCAATCAGCTCTCTGCCTTAGACCCAGCACCCCACTCCTTACCTGCCCCCCACCCTCTCTGATCCCAGAGATCTAGGGAAGAACCCTTCCTAACCTCCCTCCCTCTCGTTCTGGGGACTCCTCAGGGACATAAAGGTCTTACTGAAGTCTATTCAGACTCCTTCCTGCTTCCACTTACCCCTGACTTCTTGTTCCGTACTCAGTGCATTTGGAGCAATAGCCCAAAGGGAACAGATCCCTAATACCTCCTCTCTCCAAGCCATGTTCCTCCTGCCTCAGTGTCCCCAACTACCCAGGAGAAGGTTGGGCTACCCCGGCAGCAACTCTGCTTCTCAGGCTCCCAGCCCACAAAGAGTCACTGAGGTGCTGCTTCAGTTTCTTTGGCATCAGCCCTGTGTTTTCCTCCAGCTCATTTGGGAGGGGGCAAGGGGTGTCTCTTCCAGGGGTGGTGCCAGGACTGTGAGAAACCTGCAGAGTGCCCACTGTCCTTCTTCTCCCACCACATCCAAGCTCAGTCTGGCCCCCCAAGGCCCACCTTTCTCACATTCACATCTCTGCTGAGGGACATCTGCTGGGGGATCAGGCCTCCAGAGCTGCCCTCCATTCCCTGGACACCGCCCCTAACACCTGCTACCCATACTGCTCCTTTCCTCAGCTCTCCTCAACCTTACTTTGGCTGTGCCACACCACCCACTGGCTCACAGGGGTGGCTAGTGGGGATGGGCGACTGGCCTGGGCTCTCCTGGGAGTTGGAAGAGCAACAGCTTTCTCCTCCTGCCAAGAACTTCCCAGGGCATAGCCTGAATCTTCTCCCGCCCCCACTCAGAAGAGCTGTTTTGGTCTCTGAATGCATAGTCAGCCCAAGCAGGGGGGAGCACTTTAGCAATACCAACCCCTTCCCACATGCTGCCAGGAGAATGAGCATCTTGGGGATGGGAACCAGGGCAGGATGGAGGGCTAGGTTTAGAGTTTGGGGGTGAGTGTAATAGAAGAAACTTAGGGTTATAGCTGGGGTTGGGTTTAGGCCTGCGGTTATGCTGGGTGGGAAGCTATTGTGGGAGCTCTGCGGGTACGGGAATCCAAGAGGCAGACAGGAACGGCATGTTCCCACCCTGCTATCTTCTAAGCAGGTTTCAGGAAGCTGGCAGAGCAGCAGATCTCTGATCATGCCTGGTCACCCAACTTCCTAGGCCTGGGGATCTTAAATACCTTGACTTCCAGCCTCAGCGTCTTTCGCATCAGGCAGCTGGCTTTGGAGGAGTCAGTTGGGCTACAGCGTTGCACAATTCCCGGGGTGCCACCCACCAAACAGTCTGTGCAACTGGCCCCCCCAGGAATTGTGCAGTGCACAGCCTGTATCATACACAGCAGTCCTGGGGCTGGGGACTCTGAAAGATGAGGGGTCCATTGGGAGAGGTCATCTCTCTCCATGAGCCTTGGTCTCCAAACCTGCCTCCTCATCTCTCCTAGTACCTGTACCCATTTGACCTTACCCAAAGGGCTCAAAGCAGCAGATTTAGGTGGCAGCTCTCGCCCCTGACCCAGCCAATCTGGGCTTTGGTTTACCTGCCTGTAACATGGAAATCATCTCTCCTCCAGAGCTGGTCCTTACTCCCTGCCATGGGGCTCTGCCACTTTGCCACCCTGGCACTGGCCCTGCTAGTGCTGCTGGAGGCTCTGACCCAGGTGGACACCCAGAAGATGGTAAGAGTCCAGTGTGGGGTCCGCCTTCGAGCCTGTTCCTCCATCCGCTTCCTCCGGCTGCCTGCACTCAGCCGCTGTCTTCAGCCCCCACAGGTGGGAATGGGCTGCCCTCTCAGCCAAGCCCTGAGGATCCTCTGCCAGGGATCTCAAGGGAGGGGGGGAGAATGGGAGGTAGCGGGAGGGGATTCTAAGTGTTCACGACAGCCCTTGGCCACAGCTGCCTCCACCAGCTCTCCCCAAGAGCTCAGGGAGCCCCAGCAGGGGCTGAGCCCTACTCCCTGGAGCTCAGACTTCAAAAACCCATGTAAGTGTGGCTGTGGGTGTGCATGGGTCTCTGGGTGCATCTGTTATCCGGGAATGTGAGTGGGGAAGAATATTGGGTCTCTGGAGAGTAGCAAGGGTTCTTCAAAAGCCCAAATCCAAGGTCCCTGAGTGACCACAGTTAACCTTGGGAGGAACCTTAAAAACCATATCGTTGGTCTCAAGGGACGGTGGGGCCCGGGCCAGGAATGCCTTCTGGGGGCAGGAGGAGCTCGGTAGAGGCAGAGTGGCTTTTGGACACACAGCTTCAGACTGCAGGCTCGGGCTGGTCTAAAGACCCGCTCTGAACCCCCCCTTAACACATGTCTGTCTGTCTGTCTTCCCATGCCTCCCTCAGCCCGAGTCTTTTAGATCTTAATCCTGGGCCAGTCCTGTCATCTTTTGCCCCCAACTAAAGGCCCTTGAACCTGGGTTCTGATGTTGGCAATACTGCCAGTTTGTGTGTGATTTTGGCTGGTCTCTTCCCTGTCCTCCTCCATAGAAGACCCTTCCTTCCAGCTTTAACTTTCTGCCCATGCTCCACACCACCCTTGGAGGACAAGGGCACTTATAAAATGGCTGATTCAATCTTCCTCCTCCCTGCCCCACAATCAACATACACGCACCACAGGCAACCCCCTGCCAGGCTGCCTCTACTTCTAGCAGGGCCAGGCGCCTGGCTGGGCTTGGCACCGACCATGCCAAAGACCGGTGGGTGAGTGGGGAGTGGCAGTGGGAGGCCACAAGAGGGGAGCAGCACATCATGCTTTATAATTAAACTCCAATCAAAAAATAGAAACAGCATCAAGTGTGCAGAGACAAGCAGCTGGAAATCAGCAGCACAAAGTGCCCGTCAGAGAAGACCACAGCCTGGGCCAGATACCCCCACAGGTGGGTGAGTGCCGCTATGTCAGAGGGGCCACAGAGCATGCTGGGTAATGAGGGCCAGGGCACCTGTGCCTGTGTGTGTTGTGATGGTGGTGGGGGGGAGGGGGGAGGGGTAAGGTTAGATAGGTGGAAAACTGGGTTAGAGACAGAGGAACAGAAAAAGCATAGTACAGTCAGAAAGACCTGAGCTTGAATCCTGGCTCCCACACTTATTGGCTGTATGGCTTTGAGCATATTGCTTAATCTCTCTGAGCCTCAGTTTTCTTATCTGTAAAATGAGGATGATATTACCTGCCTCGTAAGGGTCCTGTGAGGATTCAATGAGAAAATGTAAGCATTTAGCTCTGTCTGGTATACAGTACATCCTTAGTGAGTGGTGAATATAATAATAAGCATCATTATACTTAGAAAGAAACATCAGGAAACACAGAGGTAAAGACCAAGCCTCATTATCTTATGGAGAAATTACCCTCTACCCTGAGATCTCTGGTCCCACCTGTCCTGTGGCCACAATCCCATCTGGCCTGGCTCGGGGGGGAGGCAGAGGAGGAGGCGGCGGCGGCGGCGGCGGAGGAGGAGGAGGAGGAGGAGGAGGGGGGGGCAATAGGCAGAGAGAGTGGACAGGAGGGAAGAACGGGAACATCTCCTCAGCCGAGGAGGTGGGTGGCAAAGAGCTGCCCCTCTGCCCTGAGAACACCTGTGCCTTGGCCCAAGTCCCTTGGCATGCAGGGTGTGCTGGGAGGCTGAGGAGCAGCATGAGCTCCTGTGAGGGGCGGGAGACGGAGCCAGGAGAGCAACTTAGAGAGGAGAGACACAAAGGCAGAAAACAAGTGTCTGAACTTGCAAAGAGCAGCAACACAAGAGCAGACGCAGCTGTTCAGCTTAGAGGGCAGATGCAGAAAGGAGGCAGAATGAGGACTAGAGCGGGTGAAGAGAAGAGCCAGGCCAGCCCTGTGCCCGCTTCACCCTCCGGCCGCCGAGGAGATGTGGGACGAAGTGTCAGGCTGGGCCCTTGGCAGTCCGGGTCTGGGGGCAACAGAAACCAGGGGAGCTGCTGCAGCCACGAACTCCCCTCTCTTGGGTGTGCTTGGAGCTTGAAGGGGCTGGGCCTGACTCAGGCTGGCAAGGTGGGCTGCAGTGGGATGGAGCAGACAGGTGGGGGGTACATCCATGTGCATCAGGAGTGAGACCCTAGATAGGACCTGACAAGGAATACCCCTAAGTCCAAGGGATAGGCCCCATTCTCCAGACCTGGGCCAGGGTCCCCTAGGAAACTGGGCTGGGGGCTGAAGCCTAGCAGCCCCCAATCCCTGACCCCTCCGCTGTCTCCTCTGCCCAGGAGCCTCCAGGAGGATCAGGGTCCAGCTCATTCAACTGTGAGACACCCATTTGGCCACCAGGGGGCAGCCTTACCCTACGCCAAGCTCAGAGGTCTGAGCCCCTGCCTGCCAGGCTTCCCAAAGCCCCAGCTGGCACTGCCTGGGGCTCAAGCCCCAGCTGGCGGCTCCAGACCAGTGTAGCTTTTGGACAACCATGGGGTCTGGGGGCTTACCCACCCCAACACACTACACTGATCTCTATCCTGTAGTTGCTGCTCGCCCAGCTACTCCTCTCTTTCTCAGGTCAGAACCCCAGAAACTCCTCAGTCAGGCAAGGCCAGGATCTTTAAAGTGAGTACAGCAATGTGGCTGAGACAGGAGCAAAGACTTGCTTGAGGCCACAGAATGGACGGGAGGCCAGGCTCTCCTCCCTCTCTCTAAAGTTCTCTTCCCACCACTTCAGGTAGCCTCCCATCTCCATGGGGAGAGTTCCAGGTTCAAGAACCTTTAATCCCAAAGAGGTGCCAAACAGAGAGGGGCCCTGAGGTTTGGAAGGGCTGTGCTTCCCTCCATAGTGGCCTAGATCTGCTCTCAGGCCCCACCCCCACAGGCTCCAAGGGGAGGACCTAGAATTCTAGCGCTTCACAGTGTTTGTGTTATGGGTAGAACCTGCCCTGGCCCCATTCCTAGTCCTGTCCCATCACTCACTCCCCCACTCCCCACCCCAGACCATGCCCTAGGTAGGTGGCAGGCCACTCAGCCTGCCCTGAGAGGTCACAGTGGGAGATGAAGGGGAAAGCCGGGTCTTCACTTCCGCCCTGCCCACCGGCTGCCCGCTGGGTGAGCTTGGCCAAGCCAGTGTCTTCCTGGGTGCCTGTTTCTCTTTCTGGTCCTGGCACTGCCTTCCGAAGAGAAAAGATGTTTTTCCCAGTTTGTACCTTCCCTAGTTACTGGTTGAGGGGACCGGGGACAGTTAGCCAAGAGAAGCATTCCTTCCCAGCACTGCAGCAGACCCCTGTTCTGGTGCCACAGACATCCAAGCTCTGTCGGGTCCCGGACTCCGTCAGCCTGCTGACCCCTGAGACAACCCACCCCAGCCGGGTGAGGCCTGACCTGCAGCACTGGCCTCAGTCGAGGGGGTAAGGAGGAAAGTCCCAGGGCCTATAGGCAGATGTGTAATAGCCACACCAGGCTCCCCTGAAGAGATGGATGGGTTAGTGACCACTGTCTGGAGTCCCCTAAGATGGTACCTGCACAGCTTGGGAACGGAACAGCAGGATCACAGAACTGGATTGACACCGTGGCCTTCCTATGTACCAGCCGTATGGCTTTAAAGAATTTCTCTTTAAAAAATTTTCTCTGAGTTTCAGCTTCCTCCTGTGTAAAATAGGGACCTACCACAAGTGAGGCACCAGGCCCCTAAGAGGCGTTAGCTCATTCAGTACAGAAATGCTAACAAATATTGTTCAGAGCCCAGGCCACTAGTTCCAAAGATGGACTCTGCTCTCCAAACACCTGAAACTGGGAGGAGATGGGGGTCCAAGGACCAGGCATTGAAGTAGCAGAGGAGAGGGCTTGAGATGAGCTGCTGAGGTTATGGGGAGCCACAGTCATCTGAGGTCTCCATCCCTACAAAGTTCCAAGTGACCAGAGACCTAAGGGGTGGGGTTTGCACCAACTTGTTGCCTCAAACAGGGAACTCCAAGGACTCCTTGACCCAAGTTTCCCACCTCACAGGCCTTTGGAGAGGGCAGAAGAAAGGGCTTCCCAGCTCCATGTGGTGACAAGGGGTTGATTCCCGTTCCCTAGGAAAGGTTCTAGGCCTCAGCCCCAGCTGAGCTGGCTAATAACATGATGCGAACTAGCTGAGGCCCATTCTGCAGCATCCCAGTGGCACCTGGGCTCTCTACCTCTCCCGGGCCTCTGGGTCAGCTGGACCCACGTTTGGGGAGCCTGTCTCCAGCCACAGCGGTCCATTCTGTTCCAGGATGGACTCGCTGCAGGAGCAGAACCTCCGGAGGCCCAACATCCATGGGGCAGTCGCAGTGCCCTCCTACCAGCCGCCTACGCTGTCCTCGCTGCAGCGCTTGCTGTGGGTCCGTCGGGCCACTATGCTGAGTCACATCGATGAGGTCTGGCCCAACCTCTTCCTGGGAGATGCGTAAGTACAACACACGTGGGAGAGTGGAGGGGGCAGAAGGGGAGCCTCCCCCAGAGCCCTCTAGGGGCACCGGTGGCTCCCTGTTAGCCCCCCACTATCTCTCTGCACGTGGGTCTTTCCTTTTGTATTATTCTTTTAATTGTGGAAGTAGAACACACATAAAAACAAGTGCATAGAGCTTATATGAACAGTTTCACTACCCAGGTCAAGAAGTAGGACATTACTTGTGCCCAGAAGCCCCCGCCGAACTCTTCTTATCATAACCCTTTTCCCTGTAGATAACCACTAAGTGTTGAAATAATTATTTCCTTGCTTTTCTTTATAGTGTTACCACTTATGACCTTAACAATTAGCTTTGTCTGTCTTTTAAAGTTATGTGAATGGAAATATATTGTTTGTTTTGTGCCTGGTATAATTTGCTCAAAATTGTAAGATTCACCCATGTTATTAGGTGTAGCTGCAGTTCATTAATTTTTCATTGCTGTATACTATTCAATTATACAAATACACCATTGTTTATCCATTCATACGAACAATTTAGTTGTTTCCACTTTTTGGCTATTATGAATAGTGATCCTAGAAACATTCTAGTACATGTGTCCTGGGAACACACACGTAAGTTTTTGTAGGGTGTATATATAGAGAGAGTAGAACAATGAGTCATTTTCTCTAAAAGTTTTTTAAAATTTAGAACATATGGACCAATACATGTGGATTTTAGAAAATTCCCTTAATATTAGAAAATAAGGATCAGTATGTTAACAATATGGCAAATATGCTATACCCCTACAGATAACCAGTAATAAAATCCTTATTGACTTTTTAAAAATGCATACACACATACATACATAAATGCTTTTTCACTTTTCTTTTTTTTTACAAAAATGGTTTCACTTTATAACTCCATTTTGTATCTGCTTTATATAAAAGGCATTTTTAATGGAATCATACCACATATTAAAAAAAATTATTTAACAACGTTCTGTTTTGTATTCTGCAGTTTTTCACAGGTTCTTATTATAGCACGAATACCTTTCCTTGTTTACTTATACCTACCATATTTTAGTGGTTGCTTAATATTTCACTTACCTGTACATACTCAGTCTCCTATTAGAGGATATTTAGTGATTTCCCCCCAGTTTTTCACCATCTTAAATATCATTAGATCCAGTTTACATGTCTGTGGGCACAGTTTGGATTCTTTCTTTCTTTTTTTTATGTTAATTCTTTATTTTTTTAATTATTTTTTATTGTGAAGTACACATTTTTTAGAATTAGTTTCAGCTGTACAACACAGTGCAATAGTTATACTTTTTACCCCTCGAGGTGACAACCCTCCTCCCCCAATCCACTGCCCCACTTCCCCCCCAAAATCATACATATCTATTACAATTCCCTTGACTCCACTCCCACACTATACTCCACGTCCCATGACGATATATATATATATATATATATATATATATATATATATATATATACACTTATAGTTGACATACAATATTATACAACATCAGCTGCAGGTGTACAGTGCAGTGATCGGATTCTTTCTTTAATTAAGTTCCTAGAAGGAGACTTGTTGGGCAAAGTATGTGTACATTTTTAAAGCTTTTGATGCATGTGACCAAACTGCTCTCCAAAAAGTTGGCCCGAGTGAAAGGGAGTCTTGAACTCTGACTTGAGGAGTCCTTTACCCCAGCCCGTTCACTGGTTCCAGTGTCTATCCTTGGAGGGAGGGGGCAGAAGAGGGAAGGGGGCAAGTTCCAGCCCGATCAGAGCTGATCCAGGGAGATCCAGCCCTACCTCCCAGCTCCTTTTGTGCCCTCTCTCCAGCTATGCGGCCCGGGACAAGAGCAAGCTGATGCAGCTGGGCATCACCCATGTTGTGAATGTCGCTGCGGGCAAGTTTCAAGTGGACACAGGTGACAAGTTCTATCGTGGAATGCCTTTGGAGTACTACGGCATCGAAGCCGATGACAACCCTTTCTTCGACCTCAGTGTCTACTTTCTGCCTGTTGCTCGATACATCCGAACTGCCCTCAGTGTTCCCCAAGGTGCGCTCTTGGGGAAGGGACTGGGGTGGAGGTGGAAGTGGGGGTGAGGTCTGGGGCCATCCATTTTTCCAGTAGCACTGAGAGGCGGAGTGTCCTGACTCACAAACGTCTCCAACATCCCTCCCATGCCATGGGGCAAATAGCTACTACCATTCAGTGGGCATCCCCTTCAGGGACACCCTGGAAACCAACAATCCAGGCACAACTCAGGTCCAGTGTGGTCATCAGTATAAGCATATCCCTCAGTAAGAGACCAGGTGTTGGCAAAAGGTAGAGAACCTAGCAAAGGCTCTTGAGCAGGCTACTCTAACATGAGGCCTTAGCATAGGGCTGCAGGGGCAGGGGAGAGGGCAGAACTAGGCAGGGCGAGAGAGGGAGGTAGACAACCCCTGTAATCTGCTGCAAACCCAGGGGACTCCAGGAGCACTGTTCCACAACCCTGCTCTCCAACAACCCACCAGAGTTGCAAAGATGCCACAGAAAGCACATTGAATCAGGAGAAGGGAATCCCAGCTGCTATACCTTTGCTCTGCCACTTACTTGCTGTGTGACCTTGAGCCAGTTCTTTTCCCTCTCTGGGCCTCAGTTGCCCCATCTGACAGTGAGGACAGTATCAGTATTCTAGGATGCTCGTGATAGGTGGGCTGAAAGGTGGCCAGAAATATCTCTGGTTCCCAAACGGGTGGGTGTTATGAGGGCAGGTAGCTGACGCTAGGTTGGGTCTCCCTGCAGGCCGCGTGCTGGTCCACTGTGCCATGGGGGTGAGCCGCTCTGCCACAGTTGTCCTTGCCTTCCTCATGATCTACGAGCACATGACGCTGGAGGAGGCCATCCAGACGGTGCAGGCCCACCGCGCTATCTGCCCCAACTCAGGCTTCCTCCGGCAGCTCCAGGTTCTGGACAACCGACTAGGGCGGGAGACGGGGCGGTTCTGACCTAGCGGGCAGCCAGGAGCCCTGACCTTCTGGCCAGCACGACCCTGCCCAACCAGCCTGGCCCTGGGGACAGCAGTGTCTGCTGTTTCCAGTGACCTTGACATGTACATAGCAAGTGGGGGCTCAGCAGAGGCAGAGGCAGGGAGAGCTGGGTGCTGACCTTTAGAGGGAAGATTTCCCTGACCCAACCCAGAGATTCTTTATGCAAAAGAGAGTTCAGTCTGTCTCTATAATAAAAAGTTCATGATAGTAAAGACAGGAGACCTTCTGGTGGTTTGTGGGGTGGTGGCTTACTCCAGGGATGGCCACGAGGTTCCAGGAGGCTTCCCAGCTCTGATTCAGCAAGATGGCGGCCTAGGAGGAGTCGGGGTCGCTGTCAGGACTTCAGGAAAAAGGACAGCAGATGAGGGGCAATTAGTGACACCAGCCTTGGGTGCAGGAGGGAGGAGTGGGATACAAGTGTTGAGAATGAGCTGACCTTTTCTTTATCTTGTCCTCCTTATACCCAAGAGCTGGGTTGTCTGAATAAAGACCAAGGTCAGTACATCACCATCCTCTCCATGTACACCCTATCAAAAACCGACAATCAAAACGTGCACAAATAGCATCTCTTGAATCCAGTCAATCTTTTCATTTATACTTCACTTTCAAAAGAAACTGACTAAAATCACAGACACCTAGAAGACAGAGGCAGCAAACAGAAGGATAAGGGGTTGTGGAGGAAACACCCCAGAAATCCTAGGGAAAGAGCGGTTATATGATTTAGCTCTGCTTTTCTTAGTACTTGTGCCCTAATAAAACAATATAAAAGCCCGCAGGCTCCTCACCTGTAAGTGGTACAAAGTATTACAAAGATTAAATGGGCTGCCATTCCTTCTCCCTCCGGCTACTCCTATTGCGCCCTTGCCTCCTCCAGCTGACCTGTAAACATCAAGGTTTCTCGGGGTTCCGTCCCCTGCCTCTTTCCTCCCTCAGCGTCCCTGGCCTCCTGGGGATCCTCTTGCTCCCACAGCCTCTGTTCACATCTTAGGCTGATGACTCCCAGACCCCTGTGGTTGGTCCAGTTCTCTCTCCGGAGCTCAAAGCCTTTGTATCCCACTAGCCACCTCCATTGGAATACTGCCCTTGGGTTTCAAAGTCAGCTGAACTTTTCTTCACCCGCCCCCCACCCAGACCCACTCCTCTTCCTCGTCTGACAACCACTGCTACCCAAGTCAGTGATGGGTGCCCCTGTTGACACCTGCCTCTCATCCAGTTAGCCTAGCAATTCTGTCTCCTAAATACCGCTTGGATCTGCTCACTTCACTTCATCTATGTTGTGACTACTCAGTTCAAGCTCCCTTCTCCTACTACCCAGATTCTTTCAACAGCCCACTAACAGTCTCTCTGCCTCTAGCCTGTCCTTCCAATCTCCACGCAGACATCTTACTAAAATGAAAATCCAGTCATGTCACACTCCTCTGTTTACAACCCCAAAGAACAAACACCTTGACACAATATAAAGGTGCTTCATTATCTGAGAACGTCTCATGCCTCCAGCCATCTCTCTTTCAATTGTGTTCTCATACATACCATGTAATTAGGAAACAGTAAATCCACTTGCGGTTTCCAGAATTCACTGTACTCTCACCTCTGCTAACTTGCATAAGCTTCAGGTTGTCCATCTGATTGTACCACTCTCACCTCGCTTCGCTGGGTCCACTCCTTGAGGTTTTAGGTTAGCCGTCTCATCTGGGAAGCCCTCCTAGACACCCCAACCTGAGGGAAGTGCTTCTCCTCAGGCTATCAAAATGTCCATCCACCCCTTGTAACATTCCCATCACTTTGAATTATAATCACCTATAATTGCCTTGTCATTCTCTTCCAACTGGCTGTCTCTGACCAGGCTTTCCCTGGGCGCAATGTCCCCATGGCTCCCACGCTCTCTGGCTAGCACCCTACGTCAGATACAGCTCTTCGGTTGCGTGAACCAGCAGCCACAGGTTGGCACCGCTGCCTCTCAGCCCTCTCCACAGAGGCCACCAGGGGGCGTAGATTCCAGCTGGACCCAGGACTGGGCCTGCCTCTGCGGGTAACTGCTCTCCTCCCAGCTCCACTGCACACAGCATCTCGCCACTTGGTTACACTAACACTCTCATCCCAGCTCATCTTGACCCCTTGTGCCACCTTTGACTCTCCTCCTCATCCCCTACCAAAGCTCTCTGGAGCCAGCTCTGCCCACTCCTGGGGGCTTAAGGGGCCTTTGCCCTTATATGCCATCTGGTCTATTTCCAAAGGGCAAGTGCTTTTCCTTTGTGCAAATCAAAAAAGGCGCCCCTGCTGAGCAAGCCAGCCTTTCAAGCAGAAGCACTTCTGGGCTCGATCAAAAAAACCATGTCACTTCCTTCCAAACAGACAGCTCCAAGTCAGGGTGCTCAATTGAGTGAGCTGAACACAGGCTATGTTTTAGCCCCCATTCACTCCTTCTGCAATTCATAAACTGCACAAACATATGACACCTTGTCTGGGATGTAGGGCTTAATATCCCTATTTTACAGGTGAACAAATTGAGGCTCAAAGAAGGTGAAATGGGGCTGGAATGTTGCCTCGTGGATCTCTGGACACTGGCCTCAAAGAGCAGGTCCTGCCCAGTCAGCTCCTCTGCGCTCCTTCCTGCAGCACTTGGTTCACCCGAGTCCCAGCTGGCTGTGGGCTGCCCCAGATGCTCTCTGGGCCTCTTCCAAAACTGGAAGATGGCAGAGGGCTGTTGCTGCTGTGCCCAACCAGGCGGGGTCCCTCTCAGATCTAGGGATGGAAAACTGTTATCAGTTCATCCTCAGGTGGTTGAGGCCTATCATTCTCTAGAGCAGACAAAGCAATCTCCGCTTAGTAACCCACCCTTTCCACCTTCAATTTTCTTGGATTCCCCCCCTCTGCGTGACAACTCAGCCCTTGTTGCTATTTCTTGCTCATGCACTGTCAGCGGGACCCAAAATAGTGCCTCCAGAAGCCAGTCTGTAAATCACCATCCAGGTCTATGAATATGGGCCACCTGCCTCTGCTGGCTGGGATGAGGTGCCCAGAGCCTGATACAGGGCCACACCCTGGGGCTTGAGTTTCAGCATGTCACCTTCTTGGGGCTCTGAGGGTTGGGCTCAGAACCTAGGGCTGCAGGGGGAAGAGGGAGGGAAGCCCTGAGAAGGCAGGTGGCGGGGAAAGCCAAACATTTTCCAGAGCACCCATGGAAACAGAGGTTGAGCTCCAGACACGTACCTCTGGCGGGAAGCCTTCATGCCAGCCACACTTGCCTCAGGAAGTCTGTGATGATGTGTCTACTCTCCCTCTTCTCTAGAGCAGCCTAATGAAAGCAGTAGGGTTGTTAGGAGCATGACTTTGGAACCAGATGACCTGGGTTCAAGTACTACCTCTGCATTCTTCCAGGTGTGTGACCTCAGTTAATCTCTCCATACCTCAGTTTCCCCATCTGTAACATGGGAGTCATAATAGCCAACATATAGGGTTGTTGTCAGGATTAAGTGGGGAATATAGAAAGTGCTTTGTACAACATGTGACCAGCTTTCAAAAATGAGAGCTGTGATTATTGTCATAGCACATAGTCCAGGAGCTCCTGTTATCGTGTGCTCCTCAGAACCCCTAGTCTTGGACTAAAAGTTAGTAGCACTCTCAGTATGTTGGATGAATGAATGATTAAAAATTAGCTGACCTAGATGCAACATGGTATCCTGGACTGGACTCTGGAACCGGAAAAGGACATAAGTAGAAAAACTGGTGATATCTGAGAAAAGTCTGTGGTTTAGTTAATAGTGTTACATCAATTTTAATTTCTTTGATAAATACGCATGGTTATGTAAGAAGTTAATATTAGAGGAAGCTGGGGCTGGCCGAGTGGCTCAGTCGGTTAAGAGCGAGAGCTCTGAGCAACAGGGTCACCAGTTCGATTCCCACACGGGCCAGTGAGCTGCGTCTGAACTGAAGTGCCACTGAGTTGCCAACAGGTGGCAGGATGGCTCAGCTGATGAGAACACATGCTCCTAACAACAAGATTGCCAGTTTGACTCCCGCAACTAAGATCGAACACGGTGGCACCTTAAACTGAGCAGCTGCTCTGAGCTGCTGACATGCGGCCAGATGGTGACTGGACTTGGAGCTGAGCTAGCTGCGCCCTCCACAACTAAGACTGAAGGACAACAACTTGGCTGTTCCCCTTCCCCAATTCCCCAATAAAATCTCCCTTCCCCAATTCCCCAATAAAATCTTTTAAAAAAAAATAGAGGCAGCTTGGTGATGGGTGTACAAGAAATATCTCTATGATCTCTATAACACTCTGTAATTTTAAAATTATTTCAAAATAAAAGTTTTTTAAAAACTTGCTGACAATTAATGACTGCTTTGCATATGTCAGGCACTATGCTAAGTGCATTAAATACATTGTTTATTTTTCTTTTTTTTCAGTTTCATCTATAATGCTTTATTTCTTTAGAAAAAAAACACAAATCAGATATGGCAAAATGTTAAGATTTGATCATATTGAATTGTGGAAATATAGATGCTTGTTATCTTTCATATTTTGTATTTTAAAAAATATTTCCTAATTTTTCCTAAATATTTCCTAAATAGACTAATTTTTTTTAAGGTTTTATTGGGGAATTGGGGGAGGGGAACAGACAAGTTGCTATCCTTCTGTTCTTCAGTCTAGTTGTGGAGGACGTTGCTTCACTGGCCCATGTTGGTATTATCATTGCGCTCTTCCCAGGTGAGGCAGATTGGTCACTGGCCACTGGACGGCCACTCACGGCGGCTCTTGGCAGTTCACGCCGGCTGCCGACCACTCACACTGGCTGCTGGCCACTCACTGTAGTTTATGGCAGCCCACTGCAGCTTCACTGCAGCCTATGCCGACACCAGCGACTGGTGGCAGCCCAGCTCCCAGTCAAGCTGTTGTTCACCATCTTAGCTGTAGAGGGCGCAGCGTCACTGGCCCTCATGTGGGATCCAAACTAGGGCCCTGTTGCTCAGAGCTGGCATCCCAAGTCAACTCTTAACCAACGCACCACTTGGCCAGCCCGAATGACTAATTTTTAAAATTAGAAAAATCCTAATCTATTTACATTTTGAAACCTACCATCAAATGGATTTTAGGAAGTGTTCTGAATTAAAATGGTGCTGTTATTACTGGCTTTAGGCCTAAAATATTGCAAATTCTCATTATTTTTAAAACATTCAAGAGGCTTTATTATGAGTAATCTTGCTTCGAGATA